AATATTGTATTGCATTTATTTTTTTCGTTTTAGATGTATATTACGCATCGAATCATCCATCTATTTGATAAAACTGATCAATGACTGATCGTAGTATATAACTTTTTTTAAATTCTTATGATGATCGCTTGTTCTTCCTTTAAATTCTGTTATAATCAAGCAGAAAAGAAAATTATTTTTTTCAGTTAATTTTTTTTGTAATTTAATATAATTTGCCGACATGTCTATCATCGATAAGAATTAATATTTTGAAAGAAATTTTAAATCCTATTGAAAAATCTTGCTATATCAAAGTTTATCCCAAGGTTTATCAAAAATCTGTTTTTCCGATAATAATTAGTTATAAAAGTATTATTTTTATGATTTTGATTTTAATGCGTCATAAGTAACAGTTCGAAAATATTCAATATATATAAGAAATTATTATATATAAGAAATAATATAAAAATAATAATAAATGAAAAAAATAATAAAATAATAATAATAATAATAATAATAATAATAATAATAAAATAATAGTTAGTTCAAACTCTTTTAAAGTTTCTGTTTCATTATCTACAGATGTCGCATCGGAAATGTGTTTTGTCGAATTTATGAATATGAATGATGCAGTGTCGTCATCATCTGTTGAATTTGTAGATGCGGATGATTTCGTATCATCAGTATCTTCCGTTGAATCCGTTTCTATGGATGTGGATGTTGTTATATCTTCCATTGAAGCCGTGAATGTTTCATATAGACGTTCCGTCATATTCATGAATGTGGATGATACTGTATAAATATCTAGTTAAATCCATGAATAGGGATAGTATTATATAAAAAATATATTGTGTTGACATCGATTCAAGTGAATTTATTATATAGTATAGTCGCGAATTTATTATATATTATATTATCATCTAGACGATATCTTTCCGCTGGATCTGGATATGGATAATATCGTATCATAGACGTCTCTTAAATTCGTAGATGCGGATAACGTATCATGTGAATATATTCTTTTGAATCCATGAATGTGAGTGATGTCTTATAATCGATATCGCACGAAAGATTTTCATATATTTTACTTGGTTGTTTATAGACTTAAATACAAATGTAAACCGTTGATATTAAGATATTCCCAAGAATCGGAATTGTTAAGTCGTTATATTTTCTTGTCGATTTGTGTTAGCAAATTCGATAACGTTATCTATTTTCTGACAGATTCTACAAATGAAATAATTCTTGGTTAATGTGATTTGATATCTTATATTTTACATAATAACATTTTCCTCTCTATGAATTAATATGATATGTTGAATAACAAAAAGTCAAATAACGATATGATAATGACAAATAATGACAAATATGAAATAATTCTAATCTTTTTAATTTTATTTGCATGAATTATTAAACGAATCAATAGACTTTGTGTTAATATAATTATTAAATTTTAACATGCGATTAATATTAAGATCATAATAATTTTTATCGAAAGATTTAATATCAGTAGCGAATTCAATTGCAGCTAGCTGTTGTATTTAAGTTGCGTAAATATAAAAATTTATGCAAATCTTTTCAATTTGCTTTGTGAATAAAAACTAAATATCTGCAATGATTTCTCGTTCAATTTGGAAATATCGAAGATTCAATCAAATTGTTTTTCTATAATATTGAACTGGAAAAATTCTTTTTTGTGAAAAGAAAATCGATTTTCATAATAATCCATAAAAGTTATAATGATATGATTACATTTTGTTTACAATTAATCTATTTCCACGAATCGTAGCATATATTTAAGGAATTTTTAACCAAAGATTTTATGTCTATTTTTAATGTATACAACCAATATAGCTTACAATAACAAAATATATAACAAACAACAAAATACATAATGTATACAACCAATATAGCTTACAATAACAAAAGCAAGGATGCTTCAAAATGATGTGATGTTAATACGAATAAAGATATAATTATGTTAATTTCTTAATAACCCTTTAAACATTTTTTTATGTAACCATTGCTGCATTTTATGTTTCAAAATTATTATTAATAAAAAAAAATTATTTTTAATTCTGTTATCAAGTTTTATCATTAATTTTATTTTTAGAATAACTTTCCAGAAAAATATAAATTATTCAAAAGCATTAGAAAATCTACTTTTGAAACATTTCTTATGTTAATGCCAAATAATTCGTGATATATATGATTTATGATTTGTATTTATGATTTGTTTATGATTGGAGAATGTAGTAAAAAACATTTGTGAAATTCAACTAATTCTGTTTTTATATTATTAACGAATCGCGAATAAACGCATAATTGGCGTTAACATTACATTTTATATATTTTTCCTTTTCTTTTTAAAACGTGATTGTACTTTTTTGTCCTGTTTCAGATGCAAACATGTAATTATGAGCATCAAAAAAATTGCAGTCATATGGATGTCAAGATATCGAAATTTTGTTAGCATAGAATACAACTAAATTATGATTATTAAAAATGTTAAAAGGAAAAATATGTCGAACATTTTACATGAAAAAATATTAGAAACGATTAAACAAAATCACTGAAACTCACCACAATATTTGCTGTTTTCTTTAGCGTGATGCTACTACGCTGAAAGCACGTGCTCGCAATCAAGTTCATCAACGATTCGAGTTCATTTGTTTCTCCTTTATTCAACATTGTTATATTTTGTTTGATGATATCTCAACGCTCTTGTAAAATGATTTTATCTTTATTCATTAAATGTCAAAGACAAATAATGTTCAAAAATGTTGCGAATTACGATCACAAAGTGAAACGTAGCTCAACTGAGTCGGGTTCGATTTCGATGCTTCTTACGGTACAATCTTTGTTCCACGGGTGCTGACGAGCGAAAGCGGAGCGTTTTTCTCGATACGATGGGGATTCTTTGTAATACGAATAGAAATATAATAGGAGATATTCAGATAGGAATAGAGAAGTCCCTATTATGGTGATGCAAACTTGCATGCCGTTTTGCTATTAGTTATCATAGTGAATGCAAAAATTTTCAAGTTGGATATAGGAGTTGTTTGCACTAAAAATATTTTTCGAAGATAATGCATTATTCTTATTATTTTATTCTTATTATTTTGTTTGGAAAGTAAGGCATCTCAAACTATCTTTGTTACTTGTCGAATTATTTTAACGAATCGGCATTTGCATTGTGTACCGTAATAATATCATAAGGAAAGAGATAGACTTGCAATATGTACATTAAATGTAAGAAATCATAAAAAATAATATGATATAAAATTGTCCGTTTGTTATATGCGATAATTTTGAAGCACAATGTTACTTTTCGTTTAAATTTCTTTAAAAGAAAAAATTTTTAAGTTTATCGATACGTTACGCTTGCAATTGATCATGGTTAATTGACATCACATACATTGATATATACAGTGATATTTTTTTAAATAAAGGCTGTAGTATGAATATTATGTTGTGCTGATTGTACAATATGAAATACTCTGTTATATTTTATTTTTTAATGTGATTATCCCTGATGTAACTTAAATACAGTTTTTAATTGGTTATTATGCAGATTAGTATTTGCCGAATTTTTTCGAGTAATTGCAAAACTGCTTAACATTCCAATCAAGATGTAATGTTTTTTGTGCAGTTTCACAAAATCTGAATTCAGTTATTTCGTAGTAAATGAACAATAAATAATATTAACTATAAATCTAATGATTTTATTCACATATTATACAGTAAAATTGCTTTTTATAATTTTGTCCAGTTGTTACGCAAAAAGTATTCCTGTATATAAAAAGAAATCAGCAACACTAGGTAGTAACGGGCCCAATGTTCAGTTAAACTGAATGAATTTCTATCAAGGATGCAAGAGTATTAAAATATTTTCCCGACTAATCCTATAGAAATAACTCAGGTATGCGTGCATTCTACAGATTCGTTATACATTTATCTCTTGCGGAGCAACGTGTTTTTAATCTGTATCATGCTTTGTTTCCTTCTTCGCTCTTCGTCCTACACAATTCGTTTCACTTAGAATACACTATTCAGAGAAAAGTAAGGAACATTTTTTTGTACCTTAAAGATTAGGCTCTTTTCAAACTCTTTTGAAACTTGTTGAAAAATCACCGTAGACAAAAAATTAAAAAGCATTTTGAAGCTTTAAGTTTCAACTTTAACGCGCAGTTGGTTTTAAAAAATTTTTTATTTTCTTTATTTTCTCTTTTCTTTTCTTATTTCTGCTTTATTCTGCCTTAAAAAAGATCACTGTATCCCGCGCTGTTTCTATACGTGTCTCGTATGTACTAATATCGATATACATACCTTTCTTTTCTTTCTTTGAGAAATACAGTTGAACCGCGTGCATCAAAGGCCGGGGTACAATCATTCTATTAAATTAAATAATAAATTATATAAGAAGATAAAATTTTGAAGAATAAATTCTTGGCTCACGTACGTACGCGCTTCGCGTGTGTGCGTATGACGACATACATATATATCGGGACACTGCGGGATTTCTGCCGGTGCGTACATATGCAATGACTGTGATCACTCGTTTACAAAACGTCATAAATCCATATATTATTAAAAAATACAACTTAGCAATATTCGAGATATTACGTATGTCGGGAGCTCTAATCAATAAGAGTTTGTTTAATTGTACAGTGTAACAATGCCCTAAATATCCTTTTTTCCGGACGTACACTAAACAATATATCACATATATTATCTTTTGCACAAATCATCGGTCGTTTTTAATACAATATCAAAGTAATGTATATAAAAATTTCTTTACGCGTTCACATTGACATAACTTATACCAGGTTGACTTTATTGAAAGAGTTTTATTCTACCTTATTAGTTATTAAAATTATTTTTTATTCAAAAGCTACACAGGAATAATGAACAATGGCAATCTATTTAAGCAACGCATAAACGCAATATGAAATTTATAAAGAATAAAAAAATACTTTCAATTATTTCTAGTCTTAAAATTATTGCAATCCTTAAAAATGTACGAAAAAATATCGTTTTTTATTGGACATTTATCAGACACAATACACAATAATTTTTGCAGTTTTATCTTCTTGAAAGCAATGTACGATTTTTATTTTCTACTAACCATAGCAATGACCATAGGCTTTTTTGCAATTGCCTTCTATCAAATCTCGTTTAATATCATCGATCTGAATTTGAGAGAATGATTCTCCAATATTTTCTGCCATATTTTGAATGTATTTTTCTAAAGCTTCTTCATTTAAAGGTTTGTAAAGAAGAATTTTGAAATTAATATTTGCTTTAATTAAAGTTTCTTTAAGTGTGTTTATAGCTCGATTTAAGTCTATATGTGTCAAATCGTCATCAATTTTAAAATCCGCTAATATGGTAACTTGCTGATCACGTGGATATACTCTTTGACACATGTTCACAAAATCTATGACCACTTTGAAACTTTTTAGGCTCAAATTTTCTAAAACAGTAAAGCTCGAATACAAACTTACACGTTCGTTTCCGCTTCTTCCGGCAAATTTGTTTCTTATGATGTCTATTGTATATGATTTATCGACGCTTGCATTATTGATGAGAGCTACTACTTTTAAAAGAGGTGTATCTTGCTGAAGATATTCAGCTAAAGCTTGTATGGTTTCATCATGATCTTTTCTTGTATGGTTTCATCAGTATCTTTTCTTCCATTTCGACAATAACAGAGGTAAAAGTATCAGTGTGCTCAAGATTCTGACCTAGAGAAAGCCCAAGAGGATCAAACGGAAATACGTACGCAAAAAATAGTGCAGTAATCGAAAATGATACGATCAGGGTTAGTGCAACAAACAAAAGTGATACGACCAGGATTAGTGCACCTGAAATGAAAATAAAAAACGTTTTCAATAAAGAACAAATTATTTTTCTTGTATTTTGTATCCCATCTTGCTTGATTGCTTGCATCTTTCTGGATCTACGTTTCAATTGTTTATCCGTAGAATCCATAAGATGATTAAATTGCTCATTCGTAGAATCGATAGGAAACCTTAAATGCTTACACTCAGAACACTCAGGAGGCGATTCCTCGATAGTCTCTTCTTCATTATCTGATAACTCAAGATTTCTTATATCATCATCAGTATGTGTTGCTGAATGCGTACTTTGCTCTGTATCGATATACGATTCATCATCCGTAGAGCTCTTAAAAAAGGATAAGGATAACTTACAAAATTTTATATTATCTTCTTTTTTGGTAAATACTAAATATTTTTGGATTTGTCGTTACTTACATTGCTCTCGTTCGTAGAATCTTTTGGCGTTTTTATTTTTGCTTGTTTCGTAAAAATACATGTTTTAGAAGATTGAGAGTCTAGGTTAATGTCAGACTTTGATGTATTAGGTTTCTCGATTACATTTAATAATTCTGAAGTGGTTGATTCCGGTGGAGGAGGACATATGGCCAACAGTTTCGGAATAGGTGTAAACGGTAAGCTGCTTCTTCTTTCGCGTTTATAATTGAATATTAAACGTGATTCTCTTGTGAATACATGTTTCATCCTTTGGAATAAAAAGGCTTTTGGTTAATATATGTGATATCTTTCCTAATTAATTGTGTTAGACCTCCGATCGCCATGTTAAGTTAAGTAAATGCAACGTACAAATTTTCTATTCTCTATTGGGAAATGTTTTTAAATTTTATTATCGATGAAAATACTATTATTTATTTAAATAATATTTGTATTTCGCATTTCTATATCTCAAATAATTTAAATTTTTATTCGAAATTGTATTAATTGCAAAAATAACTTTACTCGAAAATTATAATAAATAATACAAGAAAATAAATATGCGCAAATACAATGTTATTTTCAAAACAATTCTTAATCCAATCGAAAAATTAAAAAAATTATTAAGGCAAGAAATATTTAATTACGAAAATAATAAATTTCGTAATCGCATATAATCAGATATTAAATTTTAAGTAATTTTATTCGAAAAATATAAACCTATTGTATTCTATCGGATTTGATACATACAACAATTTGTAGATTCTCGATTTTTCCTCCAAATCCTGAATCGGTGGAGCAAGCGGTCTCCATAAGACAAGAGATTGAGGCTTCTTGCAATGTTTGTTTTTACTTATATGATCTTTTTTTTCAAGCTTTTGTTTCGTAGAAATCGCAATATCCTCGTTTGTTTTGGAAGATTTCTGATTAAGGACAGATTTTAATGTATTCTTCTGCTTGCTCAGAACAGTGTTCGGCACAGTTGGAAACATATAATGATTTCTAAAAATTGCCATTTCAGTGAATTTATGTAAGTTGTCATCATTTCTTCTAAGTTCTTCAAACTCTACTTTTAAAGTTTCTGCTTGATTATCTGCAGATGTCACATCGGAAATGTGTGGATGGAAATTTATGAATGTGAATGATGCAGTGTCGTCATCATCTGTTGAATTTGTAGATGCGGATGATTTCGTATCATTAGTATCTTCCGTTGAATCCGTTTCTATGGATGTGGATGTTGTTATATGTTCCGTTGAATCCGTTTCTATGGATGTGGATGTTATATCTTCCGTTGAATCCGTTTCTATGGATGTGGATGTTGTTATATCTTCCGTTGAATCTGTTTCTATGGATGTAGATGTTGTTATATCTTCCGTTGAATCCGTTTCTATGGATGTGGATGTTATTATATTTTCCGTTGAATCCGTGGATGTTTCATACAGTGGATGTTTCGTCATATTCATGAATGTGGATGATACTGTATAAATATTCTAGTTAAATCCGTAAATAGGGATAGTATTATATAAAAAATATACTGTGTCGATATCGATTCCAATGAATTTATTATATAGTATAGTCGTGAATTTATTATATATTAGTATAATTTATATTATATTATATTATAATTATATATTATATTATATTATAATATAGGTGATATTTTTCCGCTGGATCTGGATATAGATAATATCGTATCGTAGCTGTCTCTTAAATTCGTAGATGCGGATAATGTATCATGTGAATATATTCTTTTGAATCCGTGAATGTGAGTGATGTCTCATAATCGATATCGCACGTAAGATTTTTCATATATTTTACTTAGTTTTCTATACACTTAAGTACAAATGTGAACCGTTGATATTAAGATGCTCCCAAGATTTTCCGGAATTGTTAAATCATTATATTTTCTTGTCGATTTGTGTTAGCAAATTCGATAACCTTATTTAGTTTCTGATAGATTCTACAAATGAAATAATTCTTAATGTGATTTGATATCTTATATTTTACACATAGCATCTTCCTCTCTATGAATTAATATAATATGTTGAATAATAAAAATAAGTCAAATTATAATATGATAGACAAATAATGACAAATATAAAATAATTCTAATCTTCTTAATTTTATTTGCATGAATTATTAAAAACCAATAAATAGACTTTGTTAATAGAATTAGTAAATTTTAACATGATTGATATTAAAATCATAATAATTTTTATCGAAAGATTTAACACCAGTAGCGAATTCAATTGCAGATAGCTGGTTGTATTTAAGTTGCGTAAATATAAAAATTTATGCAAACCTCTTCAATTTGCTTTGTGAATGGAAACTAAATATCTGCAAAGATTTCTTGTTTAATTTGGAAATATCGAAGATTCAATCAAATTATTTTTCTATAATATTGAAATGGATCTGAAAAATTTTTTTTATGGAAAGAAAATTGATTTTAATAATAATCCATAAAAGTTGTAATGATATGATTACATTTTGTTTACAATTAATCCATTTCTGTAGCATATATTTAAGGAATTTTTAATCAAAGATTTTATTTGATATTTCCTATATCTATTTTTAATGTATACAACCAATATAGCTTACAATAACAAAAGCAAAGATGCTTCAAAATCGTGATGTTAATAAAATAAAGATATAATTATACAAATAAAGATATAATTATGTTAATTTCTTAATAACCCTTTAATCATTTTTTTGTGTAACAATTGCTGTATTTTATGTTTCGAAATTATTATTAATAAAAAAAATTTATTTTTAATTCTGCTATCAAGTTTTATCATCAATTTTAGTTTTAGAATAACTTTCCAGAAAAATATAAACTATTCAAAAGCATTAGAAAATTTATTTCCGAAACATTTATTACGCTAATGCCAAATAATTCGTGATATATACGTATTTACGATTTGTTTATGAGTGGAGAATAATATAATAGAAACGTTTGTGAAATTCAATTAATTCTTTTTTTATATCATGAACGAATTGCGAATAAACGCATAATCAGGACGTTAATTTTCTTCTTTCTCTTTTAAAAACGTGATTGTACTCTTTTGTCCTGTTTGAGATGCAAACATATAATCATGAGCATTAAAGAAATTGTAATAGAATTATATGGACGTCAAGAAATCGAAATTTTGTTAGTATAGGATACAACTAAATTATGATTATTATAAAATCATGTTAAAAGAAAAAATATGTCAAAAGTTTTTATGAAAAAATATTAGAAATAATTAAACGAAATCACTGAAACTCACCGCAATATTTGCTGTTTTCTTTAACGTGATGGTACTACTGAAACCATGTGCTAGCAGTCGTATTCACCAAAAATCCGAGTTCATTCGTTCCTCCTTTTTGCAACACTGTTAAGACTATATTTTGTTTGATGATCTCTCAATACTCTTGTAAAATAACTTTGTTCATTAAATGTTAAACAAAGACAAATAATGTTCAAGAATGTTGCGAATTGCGATCACAAAGTGAAACGTAGCTCAACTAAGTCGGGTTCGATTCCGATGCTTCTAGCTTACGGTACAATCTTTGTTTCATGGGTGCTAGCGAGCGAAGGCGGAGCGTTCTTCTCGACACGATGGGGATTCTTTGTAATACGAATAGAAATATAGTAGGAGATATTCAGAAGGAATACCTAGGAATAGAGAAGTCCCTATTATGGTGATGCAAACTTGCATGCCATTTTGCTATTGGTTATGATAGTGAATGCAAACATTTTCAAGTTGGATATAGGAGTTGTTAGCACTAAAAACGTTTTTTGAAGATAATGCATTATTTTTATTATTCTTATTATTTTGTACGTTATGTTTTGTAAGTAAAGCATCAAACTGTCTCTGTCGTTTGTAAAATTATTTTAATGAATCAGCATTTGCATTGTGTAATAATATTATAAGAGACTTATAATGTGTACGAGACAAAAGTAACATTTTTTTATTATAGGTCTAATTAATTATCGTTAGAGACATGATAAAAAAGATTATATGTTAAAAAACTCCATTTATTGTTCTATTATTATACCTATGTTTCAGTCTCAAATGATAGATATTGAAAAAGCTATAGTTACTACTATACTATAGTTTTTCGCAAGTACGTTGATTGTTACTTTTATTCTAGGGACTTTGGATGAAAATAACATAGTCTGGGAATAAAAGTACAGTTCTTATTTTCGGGAAAATAAAATAAATATAACTATTTTCAATTTAAGCCAACTTTTATTATAATCTTTTATTAAGCAAGATAATTTTTATTATAAATTTTTTTTGTATTACATTATATTAAAATAAAAAATATTTATTTTGATCACCTTTGAAAAACTTAAAAGAAATAATCTTTGTTAAGCAAAATAATTATGAGTAATATCATAAAATAATTACTTACTTACTTTTACATATTTTTACTATTACGTACTTTTTTAAGTCTAAATAATAGTTTAATTCTAAATAATAATGTAAAAATTGGATAATTATTTACTTATACGGACAACTTCCCGATTTCAATAATATTCACATATGTTATCAAGATCATTCTGAGTAATCTTGTGAAAATTTTAATCGGCGGTATATTTAAGATATAGTATATTTAAGATTGCTTTAAACAAATTTTTACAAAATTTTTACAAAATGTATAACTTTTAATATTTATTTAATAGTTAGAAATAAACTTCATTTCAATTTGTATTACGAAAATTTGAAAATGAAAAATTGTTCAATAAATTAAATTGTCAAGTAATATATGACGTAATATAATAACAAAAATGTGTCTTTGCATAGATAAATGTAGTTAAAATAATTATCAAGAAGAGAACACAAATAATTTACGTTGTAAAACATTGTAAAATTATTTGTGTGTTTTCTTCTTATATATAAAACATTGGACATTTCAAAAAAGTTCTTCAGCGACTGTAAATTTGCATCTGATCATATTGTTCAAATATTACTACATTTAATATAATAGTTTAATAATTTTTTATACAAACTTTATATGAAATAAAATATATGTATTGTAAATTAGTTGTCTTGTAATTTAGAGAATTAATAAAAAATTTTAATTAAAAATTTTAAATCTTAATTTTCTGAAATCAACATTTTTAATAATAATTTTGTTTACAAAAAACATTACTTTAAAAAATGCGAAAATTGAATTCTTTGAAATACTAAAAATAAAAAGATTATTTTATTTTTCAAGAGACGCAAAGAAGAAGATCCATCTTCAGCGTGATATTAATATTATGCATTAAAAAATATTGAAAATTAATATGTGAGATTTTACAAATTATTTTGCAAACGATACGCAGATGCAATTATGTTGCATCTCGCAATAATCTGGCGATCATACTCTCTCGAATAATTTTAATCATTACACTACAGTATACTATAATATCTAAAAAAAGAAGATAATGTTTTTTTTATTCTTCCTTACACTCTAATTGCCGCGACTTACTAATTCTTATTTGCCAATTTTTAATTAATTCTTAATTAATTTTCTAATTATTTGCATTCCATCAATCTTAATTTTATCAACATATTTCATTAATTTTTATCTATTCAGATGATTTTGTTCTTTACATCTTTGATGGCTATTTAGCATATAATATATCTATGTGGACCTGACATAATAATATCTTGTTGAAATTTTATAAAGAAATAAATTTTATAATAGAAATGATATTAAAAAATCGAAATAAATGATTTAAAAAAAATTAGTTAATTGTTTTTACATGTAAGTTTTATAACGAAAAATTGATAGGACAAATATATATTGTATATATTGTGTGTGTAAATGTCTCTGTGTGTATGTGTGTGTAAGATATATACAGTCAAAACGATTTTACTATCATTTGCGGAAAACCTATGATTACTAATTAATTGGACGATATATTTGCACAAAAATGCGGTCGAGCTAAAAAATAATTATCATTCGAACATAAAAAAATGATAAATAACTAGATAAACAAGCTGAAGTTCTGATTAGTTATGATTATTGCTGTATACATAAAAAATAAACAACATACGCTATTTATTCTAAACAAACGTAACATTAAGTCAATACATAAGAGTAAAGTAAAAGAGAAACAAATAAAATATATAAAAATTATTTTTATGTAAACAATCAAAATCATATTTAATAAAATCATATATATAAATGCTGATATAGATAAAATAATTTACATAAAATATTTATATCATTTTTGCATTTATCAGTTGCAGCATTTAATATTAAATTATTATTAACTATACAATTAATTATCTAAAATTTTGTAATTTTGTATAACTTTTAACATCAAATTAATTACTATTTAGCAAGTTTTTAATATATTAGAAGTAATAATTATAGAAATAATAATTAGAGAAGTAATAAAATTATAGAAGTATTTTCTTAGGCAAATATCATCATCTTATCGTATAATTGAAATTTTATTTTAATAATTCATTCATATAAATAAGTAGAAATTACAAATAAAAGTACAAAAGTACAAACAGCAATTTCATGCAATCTAATTAAATTTCATCATTAAAATGTGCATAATAATTATAACAAATTAAAAATAAAAGATTTCAGCGATATATAGTTTTAAAGAATTAAATAAGTAAATAAAAGAATTAAGTAATTCAATGCACTTTTGAACAAAAATTTGTATTCTAAAATAAGAATGTAATAAAGGCGCGCGCACACACACACACGCACGCACGCACGCACGCACGCACGCACGCACGCACGCACATACGCACACATATAAAATATATATTTATAATATATTTTATATATATATATATATATATATATAATATATTTAAAAATATATATTTATTATATATATATATATATATATATATATATATATATATATATATAAAGCACTGAACACATATAATAATCATCTTTCATATAATTTGTTTCTCTTATTATTAGTTACAATAAATTTATCAGATCTAGGTAGATATTCTGTGTAGTTTCCAAGTTTGACACATTATGATTTCTCTTCACATATATTTAATAAGCATTTTAATATATAACACAATTGATTCATCTGTATAGTATAGAAAAATACATCGTTTATATATATCAAACTAATCATGAGATATTGTTATTTATAATTGTATAATTATTATATATAAGAGATAATTTTACAGTTATAATAGCGGTCAATTTTTCAATTGTATAAAAACGATCGATGGTAACAACGTAGCGGCCCGTAAAGCTTAATGTTTAAGCATTACGTGTCATTACACAGGTTTATACATACGCAATGACTGTGATCGCTCGTTTATAAATCGTCATAAATTCATATATTATTACAAAATACAACTTAGCAAAGTCCGAGATATTACGTATGTTGGGAGCTCTGATCAATATGAGTTTGTTTAATCGTACAGTGTAACAGCACGCTGAATATGCGTTTTGCTGAACGTACACTAAACAATACATCACATATTATCTTTTGCACAAATCACCGCTCGTTTTTAATACAATATCAAAGTAATGTATATAAAAATTTCTTTACGCGTTCACATTGACATAACTTATACCAGGTTGACTTTATTGAAAGAGTTTTATTCTACCTTATTAGTTATTAAAATTATTTTTTACTCAAAAGCTACACAGGAATAATGAACAATGGCAATCTATTTAAGCAACGCATAAACGCAATATGAAATTTATAAAAAATAAAAAAATACTTTCAATTATTTCTAGTCTTAAAATTATTGCAATCCTTAAAAATGTACGAAAAAATACCGTTTTTTATTGGACATTTATCAGACACAATACACAATAATTTTTGCAGTTTTATCTTCTTGAAAGCAATGTACAATTTTTATTTTCTACTAACCATAGCAATGACCATAGGCTTTTTTGCAATTGCCTTCTATCAAATGTCGTTTAATATCATCGATCTGAATTTGAGAGAATGATTTTCCAATATTTTCTGCCATATTTTGAATGTATTTTTCTAAAGCTTCTTCATTTAAAGGTTTGTAAAGAAGAATTTTGAAATTAATATTTGCTTTAATTAAAGTTTCTTTAAGTGTGTTTATAGCTCGATTTAAGTCTATATGTGTCAAATCGTCATCAATTTTAAAATCCGCTAATATGGTAACTTGCTGATCACGTGGATATACTCTTTGACACATGTTCACAAAATCTATGACCACTTTAAAACTTTTTAGGCTCAAATTTTCTAAAACAGTAAAGCTCGGATACAAACTTACACGTTCGTTTCCGCTTCTTCTGGCAAATTTGTTTCTTATGATGTCTATTGTATATGATTTATCGACGCTTGCATTATTGATGAGAGCTACTACTTTTAAAAGAGGTGTATCTTGCTGAAGATATTCAGCTAAAGCTTGTATGGTTTCATCATGATCTAGTATCTTTTCTTCCAATTCGACAATAACAGAGGTAAAAGTATCAGTGTGCTCAAGATTCTGACCTAGAGAAAGCCCAAGAGGATCAAACGGAAATAAGTACGCAAAAAATAGTGCAGCAATCGAAAATGATACGATCAGGGTTAGTGCAACAAACAAAAGTGATACGACCAGGATTAGTGCACCTGAAATGAAAATAAAAAACGCTTTCAATAAAGAACAAATTATTTTTCTTGTATTTTGTATCCCATCTTGCTTGATTGCTTGCATCTTTCTGGATCTACAGGACGTTTCAATTGTTTATCCGTAGAATCCATAAGATAATTAAATTGCTCATTCGTAGAATCGATAGGAAACCTTAAATGCTTACACTCAGAACACTCAGGAGGCGATTCCTCAATAGTCTTCTCTTGATTATCTAATAACTCAAGATTTCTTATATCATCATCAGTATGTGTTACTGAATGCGTACTTTGCTCTGCATCGATATACGGTTCATCATCAGTATGTGTTGCTGAATGCGTACTTTGCTCTGCATCGATATACGGTTCATCATTAGTATGTGTTGCTGAATGGGTACTTTGCTCTGCATCGATATACGGTTCATCATCAGTATGTGTTGCTGAATGCGTACTTTGCTCTGCATCGATATACGGTTCATCATTAGTATGTGTTGCTGAATGGGTACTTTGCTCTGCATCGATATACGGTTCATCATCAGTATGTGTTGCTGAATGCGTACTTTGCTCTTCATCGATATACGGTTCATCATCCGTAGAGCTCTTAAAAAAGGATAAGGATAACTTACAAAATTTTATATTATCTTCTTTTTTGGTAAATACTAAATATTTTTGGATTTGTCGTTACTTACATTGCTCTCGTTCGTAGAATCTTTTGGCGTTTTTATTTTTGCTTGTTTCGTAAAACTACATGTTTTGGAAGATTGAGAGTCTAGGTTAATGTCAGACTTTGATGTATTAGGTTTCTCGATTACATTTAATAATTCTGAAGTGGTTGATTCCGGAGGAGGAGGACATATGGCCAACAGTTCCGGAATAGGTGTAGACGGTAAGCTGCTTCTTCTTTCGCGTTTATAATTGAATATTAAACGTGATTCTCTTGTGAATACATGTCTCATCCTTTGGAATAAAAAGGCGTTTGGTTAATATATGTGATATCTTTCCTAATTAATTGTGTTAGACCTCCGATCGCCATGTTAAGTTAAGTAAATGCAACGTACAAATTTTCTATTCTCTATTGGGAAATGTTTTTAAATTTTATTATCGATGAAAATACTATTATTTATTTAAATAACATTTTTATTTTGCATTTCTATATCTCAAATAATTTAAATTTTTATTCGAAATTGTATTAATTGCAAAAATAACTTTACTCGAAAATTATAATAAATAATACAAGAAAATAAATATGGGCAAATACAATGTTATTTTCAAAACAATTATTAATCCAATCGAAAAATTAAAAAAATTATTAAGGCAAGAAATATTTAATTACGAAAATAATAAATTTCGTAATCGCATATAATCAGATATTAAATTCTAAGTAATTTTATTCGAAAAATATAATACCTATTGTATTCTATCGGATTTGATACATACAACAATTTGTAGATTCTCGATTTTTCCTCCAAATCCTGAATCGGTGGAGCAAGCGGTCTCCATAAGACAAGAGATTTCTCATCTGATTCGGTAGAAGTATCATCGTTTAGAGACTTGTGCTTCTCTCCTTTCATATCAGATTGGGAAGGTACTCTGCAAAGAAGACATAGATCTGTTAATAACAAAACAAGTTACATACGATACTATATTTTAATCAGTCCATAACTGTTGTGCGCGTCAGAAAATCGAGAAACACATAGTCGACGATTTAATTTGATATTTGTACAATCTTGTAAATAAATAATGTAATAATTTCAGACTAATCTTTTCAAATTAAGATGTCAATAAAAGAAATAGATAAATAATCGCGTTAAGATGATACGAAATATAGTAATAAACGATTCTTAATTTAGCGACAAAAGAATACAAAGTTTCCAAATATTTTAACAACTTAGATATTATGTCCTAAACATCTCATAGAAATGTTCAATTTTATTATCGCATAAAATACGATGTTATATTCGATGTAAATCTAATTGAGGAATATATAATACCCAGCATAACTAGTTGACATGGGAGGAGACGATGATTTCTCATCTAATTCGCCAGAAATGTCGACATGGTGAAGCTTTTGCTGCTCTTTTTCCATAATTTCGGATTGGGAAGATTCTCTGCGAAGAAGACATAGATCTGTTAATAACAAAATAAGTTACATTGCTATACAATGTATATTTGTATGTTATATTTTACTGAGTCTGTTGCTGTTGGTGAGTCGGAACTTAAAGTCGAAAAACACAGTGGACGTATTAATTTGATATTTATTCAATCTTGTCAGTAAATAATGTAAATTTTAGAATGAACCTATCCAATTAAGGTGTCAATAAAAAAAATAAATAATAATAGTTTCGTTAAGATGATACGAAATAATAAACGATGCTTAATTTAGCGATAAAAAATTACAAAGTTTCCAAATATTTTAACAAATTAGACTTCATGCTCTAAATATCTCATAGAAATGTAAAGTTTTATTATCGCATAAAATACGATGTTATATTCAATGCAGTTCCAATCGACGGATATATAATACCCAAAGGAATCCTTTGATGTTGTGGCAGGAGGCGATGACTTCTCATATAATTTGCTGGAAGTGTCGACATTCGGAGTCTCGTGCTTCTCTTTTTCCATAATATACGATTGGGAAAGTTCACTGCGAAGAAGATATAAATCTGTTAATAACAAAATAAGTAATAATTACATTGTTATAAAATTATATTTTACTGAGTCTATTGCTGTTGGGCGAGTCGGAACTTAAAGGCGAGAAACACAGTGGACGAATTAATTTGATATTTATTCAATCTTGTAAGTAAATAATGTAAATTTTAAATTAAACCTATCAAATTAAGGTGTCAATAAAAGAAATAAATAAATAGTTGCGTTCAGATGATATGAAATATAGTAATAAGCAATTCTTAATTTAGCGATAAAAGAATACAAAGTTTCCAAATATTTTAACAACTTAGATATCGTATTCTAAACATGTCATAGAAATGTTAAATTTTATTATCGCATAAAATACGAAGTTATATTCGCTGTATTTTTAATCGACGGATATATAATACCCAGGAGAATCCGTTGATATCGGAGGAAACAATAATGTCTCATCTGATTCGTCAGAAATGTCGACATGGAGAAGCTTTTGCTGCTCTTCTTCCATAATTTCAGATTGAGAAGGTTCTCTGCGAAGAAGACATAGATCTGTTAATAACAAAACAAGTTACATTGGTATACGATTATATTTTAATAAGTCTATAGCTGTTCTGTGAGTCGGAACATAAATTCGAAAAACTCATTCGACGAATTAATTTGATATTTGTTCAATCTTGTAAGTAAATAATGTACATTTCAGACTAATCTCTTCAAATTAAGATGTCAATAAAAGAAATAAATAAATAATCGCGTTAAGATGATACGAAATAGTAATAAACAATTCTTAATTTAGCGATAAAGGAATACAAAATTTCCAAATATTTTAACAACTTGATCATCATGTTCTAAACATCTCATAGAAATATTAAATTTTATTATCGCATAAAATACGAAGTTATATTCGCTGTATTTCTAATCGACGGATATATAATACCCAGGAGAATCCGTTGATGTCGGAGAAAACGTTAATGTCTCATCTGAATCGTCAGAACTGTCGACATGGAGAAGCTCTTGCTGCTCTTTTTCCATAATTTCAGATTGGGGAGGTTCTCTGCGAAGAAGACATAGATCTGTTATTAACAGAATAAGTTACATTGGTTTACGATTATATTTTAACTGTTCTGTGAGTCGGAACATAAAGTCGAAAAATCAGTCGACGATTTAATTTAATATTTGTTCAATCTTGTAAGTAAATAATGTACATTTCAGACTAATCTCTTCAAATTACGATGTCAATAAAAGAAATAAATAGATAATCACGTTAAGATGATACAAAACATAGTAATAGACATTTTATAATTTAGCAATAAAAGAATACAAAGTTTCCAAATATTTTAACAACTTAGATATTATGTCCTAAACATCTTATAAAAATGTTCAATTTTATTATCGCATAAAATACGATGTTATATTCGATGTAAATCTAATTGAGGAATATATAATACCCAGCATAACTAGTTGACATGGGAGGAGACGATGATTTCTCATCTAATTCGCCAGAAATGTCGACATGGTGAAGCTTTTGCTGCTCTTTTTCCATAATTTCGGATTGGGAAGATTCTCTGCGAAGAAGACATAGATCTGTTAATAACAAAATAAGTTACATTGCTATACAATGTATATTTGTATGTTATATTTTACTGAGTCTGTTGCTGTTGGGCGAGTCGGAACTTAAAGTCGAAAAACACAGTGGACGTATTAATTTGATATTTATTCAATCTTGTCAGTAAATAATGTAAATTTTAGAATGAACCTATCCAATTAAGGTGTCAATAATAAAAATAAATAATAATAGTTTCGTTAAGATGATACGAAATAATAAACGATGCTTAATTTAGTGATAAAAAATTACAAAGTTTCCAAATATTTTAACAAATTAGACTTCATGCTCTAAATATCTCATAGAAATGTAAAGTTTTATTATCGCATAAAATACGATGTTATATTCAATGCAGTTCCAATCGACGGATATATAATACCCAAAGGAATCCTTTGATGTTGTGGCAGGAGGCGATGACTTCTCATATAATTTGCTGGAAGTGTCGACATTCGGAGTCTCGTGCTTCTCTTTTTCCATAATATACGATTGGGAAAGTTCACTGCGAAGAAGATATAAATCTGTTAATAACAAAATAAGTTACATTGCTATAAAATTATGTTTTACTGAGTCTATTGCTGTTGGGCGAGTCGGAACTTAAAGGCGAGAAACACAGTGGACGAATTAATTTGATATTTATTCAATCTTGTAAGTAAATAATGTAAATTTTAAATTAAACCTATCAAATTAAGGTGTCAATAAAAGAAATAAATAAATAGTTGCGTTCAGATGATATGAAATATAGTAATAAGCAATTCTTAATTTAGCGATAAAAGAATACAAAGTTTCCAAATATTTTAACAACTTAGATATTATGTTCTAAATATCTCATAGAAATGTTAGGTTTTATTTTCGCGTAAAATATATATATATATATATATATATATATATATATATGATGTTATATTTGATGTTGCAGTTCTAATCGAGGAATATATATTACCCAGCGGAACCCTTTGACATGGAAGGAGGCGATGATTTCTCATCTGATTTGCTGGAAGTATCGATATTCGGAGTCTCGTGCTTCTCTTCTTTTATAATATACGATTGGGAAGGTTCTCTGCGAAGAAGACATAGATCTGTTAATAACAAAACAAGTTGCATTGGTATACGATTATATTTTAATAAGTCTATAGCTGTTCTGTGAGTCGGAACATAAAATCGAAAAACTCAGTCGACGAATTAATTTGATATTTGTTCAATCTTGTAAGTAAATAATGTACATTTCAGACTAATCCCTTCAAATTAAGATAAAAGAAATCAATAAAAGAAATAAATAAATAATCGCGTTAAGATGATACGAAATATTAATAAGCAATTCTTAATTTAGCGATAAAGGAATACAAAATTTCCAAATATTTTAACAACTTAGTCATCATGTTCTTAACATCTCATAGAAATATTAAATTTTATTATAGCACAAAATACGATGTTATATTCGCTGTAGTTCTAATCGACGGATATATAATACCCAGGGGAATCCGTTGACATCGGAGGAAACGATGATATCTCATCTGATTTGCCAGAAATGTCGACATGGAGAAGCTTTTGCTGCTCTTCTTCCATAATTTCAGATTGAGAAGGTTCTCTGCGAAGAAGACATAGATCTGTTAATAACAAAACAAGTTACATTGGTATACGATTATATTTTAATAAGTCTATAGCTGTTCTGTGAGTCGGAACATAAATTCGAAAAACTCATTCGACGAATTAATTTGATATTTGTTCAATCTTGTAAGTAAATAATGTACATTTCAGACTAATCTCTTCAAATTAAGATGTCAATAAAAGAAATAAATAAATAATCGCGTTAAGATGATACGAAATAGTAATAAACAATTCTTAATTTAACGATAAAGGAATACAAAATTTCCAAATATTTTAACAACTTAATCATCATGTTCTAAACATCTCATAGAAATATTAAATTTTATTATCGCATAAAATACGAAGTTATATTCGCTGTATTTCTAATCGACGGATATATAATACCCAGGAGAATCCGTTGATGTCGGAGAAAACGTTAATGTCTCATCTGAATCGTCAGAACTGTCGACATGGAGAAGCTCTTGCTGCTCTTTTTCCATAATTTCAGATTGGGGAGGTTCTCTGCGAAGAAGACATAGATCTGTTATTAACAGAATAAGTTACATTGGTTTACGATTATATTTTAACTGTTCTGTGAGTCGGAACATAAAGTCGAAAAATCAGTCGACGATTTAATTTAATATTTGTTCAATCTTGTAAGTAAATAATGTACATTTCAGATTAATCTCTTCAAATTACGATGTCAATAAAAGAAATAAATAGATAATCACGTTAAGATGATACAAAACATAGTAATAGACATTTTATAATTTAGCGATAAAAGAATACAAAGTTTCCAAAAATTGTAACAACTTAGATATCGTATTCTAAACATGTCATAGAAATGTTAAATTTTATTATCGCATAAAATACGAAGTTATATTCGCTGTATTTTTAATCGACGGATATATAATACCCAGGAGAATCCGTTGATATCGGAGGAAACGATAATGTCTCATCTGATTCGTCAGAAATGTCGACATGGAGAAGCTTTTGCAGCACTTCTTCCATAATTTCAGATTGAGAAGGTTCTCTGCGAAGAAGACATAGATCTGTTAATAACAAAACAAGTTACATTGGTATACGATTATATTTTAATAAGTCTATAGCTGTTCTGTGAGTCGGAACATAAATTCGAAAAACTCATTCGACGAATTAATTTGATATTTGTTCAATCTTGTAAGTAAATAATGTACATTTCAGACTAATCTCTTCAAATTAAGATGTCAATAAAAGAAATAAATAAATAATCGCGTTAAGATGATACGAAATAGTAATAAACAATTCTTAATTTAGCGATAAAGGAATACAAAATTTCCAAATATTTTAACAACTTAGTCATCATGTTCTAAACATCTCATAGAAATATTAAATTTTATTATCGCATAAAATACGATGTTATATTCGCTGTATTTCTAATCGACGGATATATAATACCCAGGAGAATCCGTTGACATGAGAGGAGACAATGATGTCTCATCTGATTCATCAGAAATGTCGACATGGAGAAGCTCTTGCTGCTTTTTTTCCATAATTTCAGATTGGGAAGGTTCTCTGCGAAGAAGACATAGATCTTTAATAACAAAACAAGTTACATTGGTATACGATTATATTTTAATAAGTCTAGCTGTTCTGTGAGTCGGAACATAAAGTCGAAAAATCAGTCGACGATTTAATTTGATATTTGTTCAATCTTGTAAGTAAATAATGTACATTTCAGACTAATCTCTTCAAATTACGATGTCAATAAAAAAAATAAATAGATAATCGCGTTAAGATGATACGAAACATAGTAATAGACATTTTATAATTTAACGATAAAAGAATACAAAGTTTTCAAAAATTGTAACAACTTAGATATCGTGTTCTAAACATCTCATTGAAATGTTAAATTTTATTATCGCATAAAATACGATGTTATATTCGCTGTAGTTCTAATTGACGGATATATAATACCCAGGGGAATCCGTTGACGGGGCAGGAGGCGATGATTTCTCATCTGATTTGCTGGAAATGTTGATATTCAGAGTCTCGTGCTTCTCTTCTTCCATAATATACGATTGGGTAGGTTCTCTGGGAAAAAAATATCGATTTATTAATTACAAAACAAGTTACATTTATATATATGTGACTATTTCAGTAAATCTATATCTCTGTTCTGCGTGTCAGAATCTGTCAATCATATTATAAAACTTTTTATCGACAAATTTGATTTTTATCTAATCTTGCATATGATTGTTAATGAAGATCCTTACGTATTATGATATTAGAGAAACGATTATAAAATCTAATCTCTTCAATACAAAGATATGACTGAGTAACGAACGTTTTCAATTTAGTGGTATAAAGATTCAATATAAACACAAAATTTCTTATTAATTTAATCTGAGATATTATTTGCAAAACACTTTATAGGTCTATTAAATTTTATTATCCCATATATTATGCGACATTTATTTCGCGCGAGTAATTGTCAATCGAGAAATCTAATACCTATCGTATTCTGTCTTACTTAATGAAAGATGAAGTTCGCTCGGTGACTGATTTCGAAGGAAGAAGTTGCCGTTTGGAGTCTAAAATAAATCTTGATATGGAGGGGGATGATTTTTCGTCTTCGCAAAATTATTGATATCTAGAGGCTTGGACTTCTTTTTTTCTATAATGTTGGATTTGAAAGGATTTCTGCGAGGAAAACGATTTATTATTTACATAAGAAGTTACATTGATAATATAAAAATAATATAAAAGACAACATTTAAAAAAAATTTTTTTAGTAAATAATAAGCTCTTAATTTTGATATAGTTCTCATAAGGTTCATTTTCCCTGAAAATATATGTACATAATTTATTAATACAAAATTATTAAAAAGGAATTTTTTTCGTATTTCTCTAATCGATATTGTTAAAAACGAGTGATTACATTAAATAATATTTATATTTTTCAATATATTTTGTAAGAATATAACGCATAAAATTTCTCATTTTTCGTATTATTTATATTTTAATAGATATAAATTTATATTTCAAATAACTACGATGAATACACAAGAGTCTTAAGGAGAATTGTAATTTGGTTTTAAAATGTTACACAATCTTACCAGCACAAAATGCAATTAAGTTATGTGTCGATAGTCACATTTATCAAAAAATATGTCTCACATGTCTTCTCGATACAATAGAACTAACAAAAGTCTTTGATATGTTTGCTATTTTCTTTTATTATTCGAGTTCTGCTGTGTTGACAACTGTGTTGATATATGCGTTTGATAATATGTTCGATCGTGTTTACCAACGGTCCGAATTCATTCGTTCCTTTTTTATACAATCACATGTGATTTCGATTTCCAATGTTTCAAGAAGATTTCAATTTTTGCTCGAGTATTAGCTGATAAAAATTAATGCAACACACTTTTTTATGACTCGAAACAATTAGCGAAAATGAAGAGCCGAAGAATTGAAGATTATTATGCTGTCACGTACTTAGGCAAGTGCCTATTGCAACTGCTGATAGAAATTGTGGCGATCGCAAAGTTTTAGAAGTTGGATGTATAATTTAATTAAGCTGGAAATGCAATTCCTACAGACGGCACATTTATCATTATTATTTTTAATATCCTATTTGTCTATGTATTTGCAATTCAGAGAAAGAAAGCGTTTCGAAGCGTTTGCTTTTGTCGAATGGTTTATTATATCGTTTAGCGGAATAATCTTATGAAAGACACAGGAAATAAAATGTATATACTGTATATTATATATTCATATATATTATGTATTATTATCACATTTATAAAAGATTATGAACAATATAAAATTGCACGAAATCATTCGTAGCAATGTCATTGCGTATAATTTTCGATAATTTCCGGAAACATAATGTATCACATTATTTAATTATGTAATTTTGGAAGAGAAAATAATTGATTTCAATTCGTTAAATTTTTAATTAGTATTTTAATTAATAAAGATAGTAAAGAAATAAATAATGACGATTTTTTAGCAGCAATAAAATGCTTTTATCACTCTTATACTTCATAATAATTATTTTTTTTGACGGATTGTTTTTAAATTATTTATAAATAAGGAAAATAGCAATATTATAAAATATAATGTTAAAACATTGTATAGCAGAACAGAATGTAAATGTGTTACTTTTGTAATATAAATATTCTATATTCAAAATTCACTACTTGATGACAATCTTTCTGTATCTTTTTCATTGTTCCACAGTATAAATCTTTATCCAAACCAATGGTAGAAGTATAATCAACTTTTCGTTACATTATTCTTGAAATATGCTGTTCTTCTCGTTACTATGGTATTTTTCGATATAGGATAAAACTATAAAAAACAATCTCATCGTAAAGACAATCTTTATGCTAATCATATCGTTACAAATAAAAATATCAGTTATTTTCTATTATTACATATTAATTTATATGAAAAATGTTTAAGAATTGAAGTTATTCGACAAATTAAGCTATCATATATGTACATAAAAACATGAAATTATAATGCAATAACAGAAGTATATTTTTTCATAATTGTTGACAAATGTAATTAAAATAATAAAGAAAGAACGCAAATAATTTATGTTATAAAACTTTGCAAACCATGTTAAAATTTTTGATGATATATACTTGATACGCAATTCTATTTCATATGATATAAAGCATCAGACTGTATTTGACAAATATCCGATTTGATGAATATGATACGTGCATTCGATCTATTGTAATTTTAACGATGTATTTTACTGATTTTTATCTGCTGAGATGATTCCGTTTTTTATATCTCACAGTATCTTTTAACATATAAATTAGGCGGATTGTTGCCGTAATAATGTTTTGTTGAAATTTTCTACAAATGATATTAAAAATCGAAATAAATGACTTAAAAAATTGATCAGTTAATTGTCTTTGCATGTGAATTTCATAATGAAAAATTGGTAGGACAATTGTGTATATATTGTAGATTAGTATATAGATGTTTGTGTGTGTGTGTGTGTATAAGGTACATTCAAAATTACTTTCTACTTTATTGTCATTTGTGAAAAAAATTGTCATGATTATCAATTAATTAAACGATATCTTTGTACAGAAAAAAACTTTCGAGCTAAAAAATAATTATTATCCGAACGTAGAAAAATGATAATATTATATAAATAAGCTGAAATTTATCGTATTACATATTGCTTTCAAACAATTTTGCTGATAAAATAGTGAGTGAATGTCTCGTAATTGTTAGCATGGAAAGATATATACATACGTAAAATGATAATATATCATTGCAATTTTAATTAATCGTTAAAACAATTGTTGGTAAATATTTCCTTCCAAACAAAAAGTAATGTGATTTTTCGATAAAAGCGAGTAATTTTATTCCAAATTATAATAAAAAATTTATGATTTTTTTCTTTTCACGTACATTCAATGAACATCCTAATATACATTATAAATTATTTATCTACATAAAATCACATCTTTTATATATATCAAAACCAATCCTGTAATATTGTTATTTATATAATTTTATAATTATAAAAAAAGAAAAATGAAATAATTACGAAATAATTACGAAAAATAAAATAATTATGAACGATTTTCTAATTGTACAAGAACGATCGATGATAATAACATAGTGTAAAGCGTAAAGTTTAATGAAGCATTACGTGTCACTACAAAGGTTTATACATACGCAATGATCACGATCACTCGCTTGTAAATCATCATAAATCCAAAATAAAATTTAGCTAAGTCCGAGATATTACGTATGTTGGGAATCTTAATCAATGTGAGATTGTTTAACATCGCGTAACAGCGCGCTGATTATGCGTTTTGCCAGACATACGCTAAACAATATATTACACATTATCCCAAAAATCACCGTTCGTTTTTCGTACAATCTCTATAAAAAATGTAAAAAATTCTTTACACGTTCATTCACATTAGATCATTATAATTGTAAATTGAAAGTTAACTAGCAAAACTAAGTCTTATTTTCTTCTATTCAAATTATCAAATTTATTTTTTGGATCGCAAAGAATAATGAACTAACGAAATAATTTAACAATATCGAAACGCAATTTGATGTATTTATAAAATTTGGAAAATATTTTCAATTATTTATGAACTTAAAATTATTGCAACATGTTACAATCAAAAATGCATACAGAAAAAAATACATATTGTTTAATCGAATATTGTTACATATATACAATATTAGATGCAATATAATAATTTGAACAATTTCTTTTCCTTGAAAACAATTATGTATAATTTTCATTATTTAACAATCATAAGCATTTTTGCTTAACTTTGCTTAATTCTTATTATCTTCTATTAAACGTTGTTTATAATAATTGATCTGCTTTCGGGAAAAGATTTGTTTAATATTTTTCGCCGTGTTTATAATGTATTTTTCTAAAGTTTCTTCGCTTAAAGGTTCAAAGGGAATAATTTTACTAATAATATTTGCTTCGATGAAAGTATCTTTTACAATGTTTATAGTTCGATTTATGTCTATATTATACGTCGAATCGTCATCAAGTTGCTCAATTTTGAAAACGGCCAATATGATAAATTGTCCATTACCATATGCTTCTTGATACATTTTCACAAAGTTTATGACATCTATAGAATGTTCTGCTCTTAAATTCTCCAAGACAACAAAGTTCGAATACGAAGATGAGAAACCGTTATCGTTTCTTTTTTTAAGCCTTTTTTTTATAATATCCACCGTATATGATTTATCAACGCTTGTACCACCAATAAGAGCTACTACTTTTAAAAGTGGTGCATCTCGCTGAAGATATTCGGTTAAAACTCGTACGGTTTTATCGTGATCGAGTATCTCTTTTTCCAATTCAACAACATCAGATGCAAACATGTTAATACATTTATCATTCTGATCTATATGCAAAAGTTCAAAATAGAAAAACAATAAAAGTAGAAATAAAAATAGAAATGATATAAATAAAATTATGAAACATTGCGGCGAACATTTCGACGAACATTTCTGATAAATTTCATTTTTCGTAACTTGAATATCTTCCGGTTTCTTATCCTTTCGAGCCTTGTCGATTAACATGATTAGTTTCGAAGGAATGAGTTTTTTAATAATAATAATTATATTTATTCGTAATAATGTGAAAAAAAGAAAAATTATTGATTTAAATCGCGTGACTACAGAAGTCCGCCGTGCTAATTGTTCCTCAATGTTCCTCTTTGATGTAAATTCTGTAGTATCCATTAACTCCTTATCATTTGATCTATTATCGTGAATATTTGCCATACATTCTTCCGCCTCATCAGTTTCTTGTTTTGTATCTTGATTATCTTTCGATTCATTGTCGGTTTTACTACTTTTGATTGTAATGTTTGGAACAATACCTTGAATTATTTGAATCTGAGATTTGTGTTGTGCAATAAAATGTTTAAAATCTGTATTGTATTTACATATATTGCTTATATTTTTTTCTATTTTCGAAACATCAGATGTCAGATTGCGACTAATATTTGTAATATGAATATTAAGTGATTTAATGATCATATTATAATATTTCATAACATAGGACGATTCCGTAGAACTTGATTTTACAAAAAACGATTTTGATGTCTTATAAGTTATTTCTTCCTTTTTACTCTGATCATCTTTTAATTTATTGTCGTTTTTACTGCTTTCGGTTGTAATATTTACATTAATATCTCCAAATATTGGACTTTGAGTTTTGTCCTTTGCATTAAATTGTTTTATAATTTTAATGTATTGTTGAATAATGATTTTATATTTTTTCAATTGCGATTCTGCAGATTCTAAGTTATGATAAAATTGTACATATGCAATAATCAATATTTCTAAATATTTCTTACATATGTTATTAAATAATTCCAAAAATGATTTCTCTTCTTCCATAAAGTTTGATTCCGGAGACGATTTTACAAATGCTTCCGTAGTAGATGATTTCATAGAAAATGATTCCAGTGATTTTATTATTTTGATTTTAGATGATTCATTATATTTCATAGTTTTCGCAGTTGCAGTATATATGTCGCTCTACCTTTTTAAATGAAAAGAGGCTGGTTAATGACATGTGTTATCTTTTTTAATTACATATATAATACACTAACCATCGCATTTAATAAAGACAACATTCATTATTCTCTATTAAAAATATTTGTAAATTTTATTATCAATGATACAAACATTGTCAATAATAAAGTATTTGCACATATTATTACGTATGTAAATAAATTTTTGTTTTTGCATTTATATCTAAAATAATATTAAATTATAGTAGATTAAATTATATTCTATATAATTTAATCTACTATAATTTAATATTATTATATTCTATATAATTTAATCTATTATACATAAAAATTGTTTTAATTGCAGAAATATTTATACTCAAAAATTATAAGCTTTAATTATATTATATAGAAAAATAATATGCGCATATACAGTATTATCTCTAAACAATTCTTAATATTTCATTAGATTTATGAAAAAATATAAAAGCAAAAAATAAAATTTTGTTTATAGAAATATTAAATTTTATTATC